TTTCTTATTGTTAACATATTGACTCAGAGAGGTGGTTTACAAAAAAAAATATATGAAGTAAAAATTTAATCACACATCACAACAAACATCGTCGCTGAAACTCAAAAAGTCGTAACTAATACAAAATTCAAAATTCAGTTTTTAATTGATATGATGGGTATCCTCAAATTATAACTCCCACATTTTTTAATGAAAAAAAATAATATTTAGTCACGACTTTTTCCATTCACATTTTTCTTTTCACAAATATTGTTAAATAAAATTTCAGTGAGCCCGCTACCAGTTCATCAAAATACTTCCAGCACAAGCTTCGTTCGTTTATGGCATAAATGTAAAATACCTACAATTCTCAAATTAAAAAAAATCATATTGGGATCGATGGAGATCATTGAGGTGAGCGTAACGATATACAACAACTACAACAATTATTAAAGGTTAAAGTTCAAATTAAGCATTTTTTTAAATTAATATTTCTCGAAAACCTCTTCAAGGATTTGGCATTAATGTCATTTGATAGAGAATTTAATTCTCTTTAATTTTATATACATATTTATACATATACCTTTTAAAGTTTTCACAAAAATCGACTTAATGTGTAAAAAAAGTATACCGTGTTTTTGTGTATCAATTTCTTTTTGCGTAGGCGGCCTTCGGCCGCCCTTATGGATTGTAAACCCCACTAAGTAGAATTCTCCTTTCGGTATTGCCATGAAAAGAAGCCGAAGTATTTCTGCGCAGAACTTCTTTCTGAATATATATATCGTTATTTTCAGTCCTAGTCGATCCTATTTTTTTTTTTAATTTGAGAATTGTAGGTATTGTGCATTTATTCCTCGTTTATTACTCTAAAATATTAACATGAATTAGATTCTCTGGCGTAATACATGTAGCTTAACACACATGTGTGTACATTACATACTTATAAACCAATTAAAGTATTTCTTAAAGCTCAAACAGACGGCAGCGTTAATCCGGATTAACTCGGACTTAGTCCGGATTGACTGCAGTTAAGTCCGAGTTAATCCAGATTTGTTTGAGCTTTTACTTATATAAGTATACATATATGAACATTTATAAAATGTAATATGGGAATTTATTAAAGAAACATATTTGGGCATGATTCCACGAAAGTACTTATTAATCGCTTTTAAACGCTGGCACAAAATTTTAAAGCGCGCTCAAAATGAAATGGTGAAAAATTAGTCAAGAAACATCTTCGATGTTTTTCAAAACATCGATGTTTTGGTTTAGCATCGGATTCGTAAAAACATCGACGAACATCGATGCTTGAAGCCACGATCATCGATGTTGCTCGATACATCGATGTTTTTTTACCTACCTAGTCGGCCATTGATTGACTTCGGTGATTGTTAAAATTTTGTTGAGCCCGTTTGTTCCCCTTTTGGTGCAAAGCGAGGTTATTTTGAGATTTGTTTCGCGGTTATTCACATTGACAAGTAATAGAATAAATCGTATTAAGTAAATATATTATAATAAAAGTGTTTCATCAAAGGACGTGCAAGAGTAAATTTTGAAGGAAGCTAAGTAAATACTGACCCAAATTAGTTGAGGAATCAAGTGAGGGCGCTTACAAATCGGCAGTCTACCTCTCGAGGGACTGACTGTTTCGATTACAAACTTTCTATACCAAAGCTACGTGACATCAACTCGTTGGAAAACGTCTCAGCGGAATCCAGCGCAATGGATCCTAATTACGCCACATCTTAGCAAATTCTCTCCCTGGTGGAGACAACACACAAGTCCACGACACGCTTCATAACATCTCCAGCTACAGTAATTTGTGTGCGTTAACTCCAGAGAAAAAATTTCAGCCCACTTCCCCTATATTTCCACATGTGTATACGCTTTCTCCGTTTTTCTTTTTCAACCTAAACATCTGGGCAAACATATGTCCAACTTGCAACCAAAGTTATTGTATGATCACATATTACCTCGGCTAATCAGACTGAACGGCCACACTAGATTTATCCCAAGACGCATTACCAACACATCCTGTAAGTCTTCTACACCAATAACATCATTTTTTGGAAAGAAGAATCAATTAAAATATAAAAAGCAGACGAGTGTGTGTATGATTTCGGCGACAAAGTCCAACGAACGATTTTTATGAGGAGCTACCAGCAGTTCATTTGAATTACAACATTTATTATATTTTTCTTGCCAGGTGAGTTAGTGAGGAGCATTGGGTATTTTCTTGCTGCTGTATTGGGTGCATTAAGGAATCACATTACTGTGCATTTGACTATTAATTGATTGTTAATAGCAAAATAACAACAATGACTTTGCCCAGGTGATCACACCATAAATTTATTAAACTTAAACGTAGAACGTGTTTAGCAACAGCTGTTTGCATAAACAAAATCTGAAACGCTGCGAATACCTGACATTTTATTTAAGGTGTTTAACATAAAACCACGTTGAAAATGTGTGGATTTTATGGCTCTGATTCTGCAATTCAGTTTATACTTATTAAAGTAATAATTTACGTATATGCTACTTATGTAACATTGGCACATTATTTGATAAACAACGCCATTGCTTTTTACGCTGAGTCGACAGTAAACTATTGCCATTGTTTGTGTTTATTATTGGAGAAAATACAAACAAGTATACATATATGTACATACATACATACCAATAAGATGCTAGAGCGCGAGCGATAAGCTTTCTTACGGACGGCGTAACTTGCTCGACTATGGCAGTCGTACAAATGTACGCCCAATTATACATTGAATGTTTATTGCCTACGTATGAGGCTATATTATTCGTAAAGGCGATGTCGTTTTATGTTTTTATATACTCAGATAAGCAAGAGCACTTTATTATCAAAGCAGCCCCTTGCGGCAGATAAATTTTCCAGCCTATTTTCTTATCTTTTGCTTTGATTTTTTATTCTTAATTATATTTTCCCTTCTTTTTGTTATGCCTTACAGATATTCTATTTTTGAAGGCACTAATTTTAATTGGCTAGCAAACCTTATCAATTTAAACTTCCATTGTGTGCGACAGCAAAACCATCCAGCTTTTCTGAACCTTGTCTGCAACAGATTCCAAAATGCAACGCTGGTTTTTCGCCGTTGAGGCGGAGGATTGCGATGCCATGGCGGCACCATCCTCATCCACAACGTCTATGGTAGTGTTTCAACCTGATATACCGATTCATGTCAATTGGAAGTTCTATGTGATGATGAATGATGACATTGCGCCCAATGAACGTTTGGCGATTGTGGGAAGCACTGAAAGTCTGGGCAAATGGCAGTTTAGCGAGTGTAAAATCATGATGAAAGAAGATGGTGAGTGGGCGCCGTACCCGCACCGGTAGGCGGGACTTTAACACGTTATTCTGCCTTTTTAGACACAAACGCTTGGTATATTTATGTGAGCATTCCGCGCGATACACGCACTGAGTATCGCTATTTAGTGGTTGCAGTCGAGCCGACAGCTGAAAAAACTATTGTGCGCCATTGGGAGACACATCTGAAGCCACGTCACATTGTGCCCGGAGTGTGCAGCAAAACACGAGAATGTGATGAAGTTTATGGTTCGTTTAACGGCATTGAAAAAGTGGATCGTGGCTGGGTCACAGCAGAGACAATTGTACAATTGAAATTTTTCAATGCCCCATTTACTTGGAAGCAACGCATGAAGAGACG